CACAAGTTTGAGACCGGAAGCTGTCATTCATCGATCGCCGCGACAACTTCGTCACATCCTGTCAACATTTTCTCACGGACTATAAATATGTATTAATAAAGCCTTCAACTTTACCGAATAAAAGGCGAAATTATGTAAAACTATTAGGCATATAAATAACGGTAAATGTAAAAGAAAACTCATATTAACTTGTGTTAAGGGCGATTTTCAAGTGACAAGCGTATGTAAATTAAAATCAATAATATTACATTTTCGTGCTCATCACTTTCGAAATAAGACTTTAATGTTGGCTTTGACATTAATTATAGAAACACTTATCGACTTAGCAGATAACACGATGCCCTAACATTAAGTTAACACAAATTAGTAAATCATTATTAAATAAAATAACTCGCCAACTTTTATCTCGTATCAGATATAAAATAAATTTCGTTAAAAAAGTTTAATTATATGTTATATATTTTACTTACTAGAGTTTAGTTCGCGTGTTAGAGTTTTTACTTTTTTGCGCGGAACTCTGATTTTTTTTCTAAATTAAAGTAGCCTAAGTTACTCCTTATGACAACAGCTATCTGCTAGTGAAAGTCCAGTCAAAATCGGTCCAGCCGTTTCGGAGATTAGCCGGAACAAACAGACAGACAGACAGACAAAAATTTAAAAAAATGTATTTTAGTTATAAGTACCGTATTTACTTTCATACGCATTTAGTTAAAATCTGTAATTTTGACATTACAAACAGACACTTCAATTTTATTTATTTGTGTAGATTATATTTTTACGTGGTAGAGTCAAACCGCAGCTATAGTATAGTTGTAGCACGAATGCGTCGGCTTGACCGGGGAAGGACCACGCTCTCACAGAATACGAGCGTAAAATAGCAGCTTAATGCTGCTGTGTTTCGTATGGTGAGTGTAATTACTTAATTCAAAATTGTCTCATTAACTAAGACCGCCAGTTTCAATTTTTACAATAAAACATTCTTGATTATATCAGATATTGTATGCTGTTTAAAATGGCGATATAAATCACTATCAATAATTAGTCAACAGTGACATACAACTTCGCTCACACCATGCATCACCGGCGATTTATGAGACTGCGAATTTCACAACGACATATTGCGTAAGTGGAATACAAATATCGCTGCCTTCTTGGTTATGTTCACTAAACAAATTACGAAAATGGCGTAAATGGCCTATTTTTTAAAAATATATATAAAAGAGGGCAAACGAGCATGCAGCTCACCTGATGGTAAGTGACTACAGCCGCCTACGAACAACTGCAACACCAGGGGAATTGCAGATGCGTTGCCGGCTAAAAAAGAGTAGGCTCTTTTTTTAACGTCCCTTTTCGTACTTATAACAAAACATATCTACATTTGCAATTTGAGTATTACATATATCAAATGTAAAGTTAAACTTAAAGGCTGTTAAATAGCCCACTGTAATATATGTATTTGTGTATGTATGTAAATATATATATATATATATATATATATATATATATATATATGTATATTAATAAATTAAAATAAAACAAAAATACAAAAACAAAAAGATAACCTACAAAAAGAATTTAAGGGTGCTGTATAATAAATAACAGCAGCCAATAAAGTAAAAAGTAAAAAATAGCCCACTGTCAGCTAAGGACCTTATCAATCATAGGTAGAATCTTATATTAATATTCTCTAGAGTTTTATTATCGTTGTAGAGCTGTTATCAAGAGCTGTTAGCTGCTATTAATCTCCTGTTTCGGTTTTCCTCTGTCGTCTTTTATCACCCACGGGATAATATTGGTTAGTGAATTCTTTTACGCCGCTATTACTCGACAAATATGATACATTTCTTTATATTCATATTTATTAAACACAGAATAACAGCGTAAAATATCAGCTTAATACTGATGTGTTTCGTATGGTGAGTGTAGAAAACCGGACCCTTTTTACTGCAAAAGAGGCACTCCATCTTAGTCCTCAGGGTTGACAACGTATCTGCATTTTGATTCGCATTCGTAAATGTAGACGTCTATGGGCCACAGCAATCTCTTACCATCAGGTGGACTGTGTGCTCGTTTGTCAACTTTATCCTATATATATGTTATTCATTGGTCTCATATTAAAACAAAACATGAGTGAGTATCGCGGAACACTCGATTGGCACGAAGTTCTTTTCGTAGTATATTATTATTGAGAAACGTATGATATTATTGATTAACAAATACAAATAAATGAATTACTAGCGTCTTTTAAAAATAAACGTCATTTGAAATAAAATAATATTTCTTTCATGGCAAGATAAAAAATGTGCGAGGGAGATGGATATTGATCCATCTCGCTTCCTTATAGCCACCAAGGCCGTCTATACTACGTCAGAAGGGTTCGTGACGGAAAAATCTTACACTTTTTCTTGCCAGCCTCCATCCGCCAAATTCGTACTTTTAATCAGATGGGCTAAAACTCTGTACTTTTAAGTTTATGTAAGTCATTTAAAATATTCAAAGAAATATACTCGGTTTCATCACGAACCTTTCACAGCAGGTTCACGCATAATTTGTTTTACCGCATTGACACCGTCACACCTTGCATGCTCTTTGATTTCTTGCGATAACACCGCACCGCCAGATTGGAGGGAAGTGTATCGCGAAACTCGCGAGCCCGTGACTTCAAACGAGCCGCTTCGATTCCTATCGATGTAACTGCCGAGATGCCGCGAGGGTCGCGGAGAAATATAAATTTTTAAGAATTTTTGTAATTCCACCGAATACGTATTCGAATGCACAAGTCGAGATATCGATCAAGATTTCGATTTATTTTATAACGATTATTTTGACTAATTTATAGGATTTTTTTTTAAATTAACACAAGTGTTTGTATCCTTAGAAAGAAATCATGATAAATGTTATACTAACCAAGAAAGTAAACTGACTTTAGTAACTGTAAATAGGTGATTTACAATTAATACAATCATAAACACTTACTTATACGAAAAATATTTATATATTTGTCAGTTTGAATGTTGTTTTCAAAAATAGCTCTAACGATACCAATGAACATTGCAATATAGGAGTTTACGGAGGGAGAAATTAATCTAGCTAGGTCTCATTTCTGGGAAAATTAATTATCTCCATGTTTTTATGCACAAAGCAAACAATCAAATTGTGATCCTCCCCGGCTTCGCACGGGTGATTTCTAGATCTCATCCATCACAATAGCGCCAGCTATCGGGTCCAATGGTTCATCTTAACTATTCCCAATTCTACTTAATCACACACACACAAAATTTCATCAAAATCGGTCCAGCGAGTTCAGTTACATTCACATGGAATGAAGAATTTTATATATAATATGCATGCAATACAGATATAAACCTTCCTCTTGAATCATTCTGTCTATTGATGAACCGCATCAAAATCCGTTGCGTAGTTTAAAAGATCTAAGCGTACAAACGGCAGGAAGGAACTTTGTTTTATACTATGTAAAGATACTGTTTTACATTATGCAATATAATACTTAAGTACCATGCAGTGGCGACATAAGAGAATCCATCACGCCGTCTTGCGGGGAATGTAAGATTGACTCTTACTAAAGAAAATGTCAGAAAGAAAAACAGAAATTATGTGACTAGGCACTAGGCACTAGGCGACCACTATTTATTAAGATAAATTTCAGAAAATCTAGCACTCACTAAACTAAATATCTTTTCTCACTGTTAGTCAGCGTTTGCGTTATTTTTCTTTTTAAACCAAATTCAAAAAAAGAGGATTCAATTCAAAATTTCAATTCGACTGTATTTTTTGTGTGTTACCTCAGAACTTTTTTCCTGGTCATTCTTTTTTATTTGAAAGCTGGTGAACGCTTGTCACGAGGTCCCATATAAATTTGATCAAGATGTCAGATCTTAGTAGTGTTTGAGTTATCCTTAATAATGCGTATTTAATTGACATCGACTACATTGTGATATTCTCATTTTGTTTATATAGAAGTCGGTTGTACAAAATTTTTAATTTTACCAATTGTTTAATACACATCTTAGCAATATAAGTTCACAGATCTCTAATAGAAAGACGTCATGGTTTCTAAACTACAAGGAACCCGGGCAATAAAAAATTGCGCACTTGTTACAAAAATGGCTTCTCTTTTTTGCTATTCCGTTGCGTATAAGACGAGAAGCTTGCGACCGGATTCACGCCATACGTTGGCCTTTCTAGGTAAAGTTAATTGTCGCTTGGAGAGGTTATGATAGCATTTTACGGAACTGAAACTTGAACTGCAATACATTAAATGTTTATGGGCGGCGGTGATCACTTGCTATCAGGTGAGCCGCATTCTTTGTTGCCTCCTCTTCTATAAAATAAACATCTAATCATGGCATTAAAATTATAGAACAAAAATCTTACCTGGTTACCTAATCATCATTCCATTCGCAGTTAATGATCATGTAATATTTGGAAGCTATGGCCGTGGGCTATTGACAAATAAGTTTTGAGCCTCATAAGCTTAAACAAATACTCAGAATTGCGTAGTTTAGGTGTAAATTTATAAAAATTGTTCGATTACATATTATGTTTTGGTCGATTCACTTCCGAGATATTCCATTTTTACTTATGTTTTAGTTCGGTTTGAATAAGATGTTAGATTCAAGAGGAGTGAAGGATTACCTTGGTGGTGTTGATCGAACTGCTCATAAAAACCAAAAATGCACTAGAACTAATTAGTTATAAGTCTCAAGCCTTTTAACGCTTGAAACAATTTAAGGGTTTGGGAAGGGTTGCCAAGGTTTTGAACATTATATTATATAATAAAAACATTGAAATTAATTGACCACGACCTTATCGTGTACTCGTTATTTACTTCATAAAACATGGAAATTCCCAACATAATATGTATTAGCTCTAACAATAAACAATAAAACACATTTAAAATTTGAACATTAAAAATAACCGGAACTATACACGTCTTCGGAATTGAAAAAAAAACTATAATAGGTGTTTCCGCTGTACAGGTGAAGGCGGCGGCGGCGGGGCGAGACGATGCGCGCGCGACGCGGCGTCTCCCGCGCACGCGCACACGCCTGCGCCCGCGCCGTCCGCCAACCCCGTGCCCCTCGGGCAGCCAGTGCCGCCCACGCAGCCCACGCAACCCACGCAGCCCACGCAATCCACGCAATCCACGCAGCCGACGCAAGTTGCACACTTCAAAAGCGAGCGGCTCAGTCCGCACGATTCCACTGCCTCCAGGTTATTTTCTTATTATTGCTATATACTTTATTATACTCCACAAAACACAAAAACAGATTATAGAATATATATTATCTTATCGCTAAATAGTAAATAGCAATCTCTTCCAGACAACCATAAGAGTAAAGAAAAAAATTAACTTTTGCACAGTGCAGTGGGATTTGTTTTCTAGAAATAAGATAAATCATAGTTATAACTACGAGTTGGTAGGCTTCTTTGGATTGTTTGGTAGGTCTCTGGCTCTGGCGCTGGTATTCTGTAAGAGCGTGGCCCCTCCCCGGTCGAGCCGACCCATTGGTGCTACAACAATACCAGTAATATAGCTGCAGCATGGCTCTACCATGTAAAGACAGTTCTGTAGACAACGCACTTAGTGCTTGCACTGCTGTATTCCAGTCGGAGGAGTATGGAGAGTTATTATAATTACAAGCTGTGATGTATTCAATCTTGGTCCTCAGAGATCACCTCTGAGACCGCATAGTCTAGTAGTCATAGTAGCATTATTTGTTTAAAAGAGGCTGCAGGTGTTCATGAACTGTGGTAGCCACTTACCATCAGGTGGACTGCAAGATCGTTTATAATTTCAGTTTTATGAAATAATGGCACCGGCTTAGGTTTTTCAAGTGAGATTTTAAATAAATCCATGCATTCATACATTACAGCCCATAAAAGTTCACTCCTGGACATAGGCTTCCCCCATAGATTGCCACATAGCGGGGATTTTGCCATAGTTTTTTTTTTATAGGATAGAGTGACAAACGAGCACACAGTCCACCTGATGGTAAGTGGTTGCTATGACCCATAGACATATACATTTATCATCAATAAAGAATCAAAATGCAGATGCGTCGTCACCCGTGAAGACTAAAATGGAATGTCCCTTTTCCAGTAAATTGGGTCTCCGGTTCTCTAGAATCACCATACGGAACACAGCAGTGTAAGGTGCCATTTTACGCTGGTATTCTGTGAAAGCATGGTCCTTCCCCGGTCAAGTCGACCCATTCCTGCTACAACTATACTACTAATATAGCTGCAGCATGGCTCTACCACGTAAAAAAGCTTGATAGCGTGTTGGTGGCCGCATTTTTTTATTATTTTAAGTTGTTATCTGACAGATGCTGCTGCCCATCTCCTATCGTCATTTACGACACCCAATATTCGGTAGTGTATATAGTCTTACAAATAAATAAAAATACATTTTTAACAAGTGTAAGTACCGGGTAGAGTTTACATAGCTTCTGTCATGCTTAGGTCCCGTAGCGTGACGCCATCGACGTCGTCATACCCGGGCACGCCGCCAGAGCGCGGCAGCCCGCACGCGGCGCCGCCCCCCGCGCCCGTGCACCCCCCGCGGAACTACTCCGACATTATGCGCTCCCTCGCCGCCCGGTACAACACACATCCTGCCAATGAGTAAGTTGAAACATACATTGTCTCTACATGTAGCTGTATTATGACTGCAGATCGAATGTGTCGCCTCGAGATTTTTTTTATAGAATAGGGGTGACAAACGAGCACAGAGTTCATCTGGTGGTAAGTGGATACTGAGACATAGATATCTACATTTATCCCCAATTATAATTTAAAATGCAGATGCGTTGTTACCCTTGAGGACTAAGATGGAATTCCTCGTACCCAGTAAATAGGATTTCTTCACTTGCCATCTATACATAAAATTATATACGGTACTGATTAAATTTTTGTCTATCTGTCTGTCAGACTGTCTGTCTGTCTGTTTATTCCGGATAATCTACGAAATGGCTTCACAGATTTTGACGGGACTTTCACTGGCAGATAGCTAATGTTATAGGGAGTAACTTGGGCAACTTTTATTTTATAAAAAGTATAAGGGGTCCGCGAAAAAAAAATTAAAACCCATGGAATCCAATCGTTATAAATTCACGCGGGCGAAGTCGCGGAGAACGGCTAGTACAAAATACAGCAGTATTAAGCTGCTATTTTACGCTGGTATTCTGTGAGAGCGTGATCCTCATCCGATCGAGCCCACTCATTCGTGCTACAAACATATTATAACTGCAGCATGGCCCTACCACGTTGACGATGGGAAGGACCACCTTCACACAGGATAAAAGCGTCGTGTATAAGTGTAGAGAACCGGAGACCCTATTTACTGAGTACGAGGCATTCCATTTTAACCCTCAGTGTTGCCTACCCATCTGCATTTTAATTTCTAATCGAGCATATTTTTTGGTGTTAACATATAGTCATTGGCTACAGCCTACAGAATACGCTGGTGGACTATGTTTGTCGCCATTACTGCAATGGGCCGTGTAGTGACGGTGTATGTAAGAATATCAACTATCCCATATCATTCTGTGGGTGTCGCAAGAGTCGACAGAGGGAAACAAATCAGGAAGATGGGCAGCAGCATCTTCTTAATAACGAATAAAATAAAAACTGCGGTTGCCACCCAACTGTGACAACTACAAATGGTAAATATTCCCCCTATGCTATGAGGCAATCAATGGAGGAGGCCTATGTTCAGCAGTGACACACAGTATTCTAGCCTATTACCAATGGAGGATGCAAAAGGAGAGGGATGATGCCAACACAAAAATGTTTGTTAAATTAAATTTGTAATAAGAAAATGCTCTCGTACTTTAAAATCAGGTCGAATATTTTGGGCTTGTTAATATACAAACATTAAAGAATACATATTTTTTAAAAATTCGTTTTTTTCTCTTCTAAAACCGAGCCGAAGTTTGAACCCCCAACTTGAAAACCTGGATCCGCTCTTGCTTATGACGCACTGTATTCTAAACGAATTGAATACCTTGTATCTTTGTAGACTTGTGCGTTATAATATCGCCTATATAGTTTATAGCATCCGTTTTCGGCAGTTGTTGACCGAAATCGACCAGGAAGACTTATATCTAACTGGGGACAAGGTATACACAACTTAATTATCAATCACTTAACTAAATATCGTTTTTGTGAGTTTTTGTCAAAGCGATGACTATGAACATACTTCAACAAATTCTTCCTTTGAGTGCCCACTAAACCTCTGGTAATTGGCAGACTTCATGAGTTTACGAATTTTTTTCAGACATGCCTGCTTCTTAGCGGTATTTTTAACGCTAATAATCTGACAAATCAGGAACTATAGTTGTAATTAACAGTAGTGCTAGCCATAACTGAAACAGGTAAATAATAGGACTGCAATCCTATTACTAACTCTTCCTTTATATATTTGTCTCCGTTTCAACTTACTATTAGCGAAATCTGCGTGCCGATTAAAAGGTTCAGCTTAGGCACAAAATTTACTACTTCATGTGCCGATTACAAGAACATATCCAAGATTCAGCCATTCCAATAAGCACTATGTCACCTGTATTCGATACGGCGATAATTTACTTGCGATAGTGTTCAGCGTAGTTCACTATAATTTCTATCGTCCGACATTCGATTGTAGCGGTATATGGCGGCAAATAGGCTGTGAAATTCAAAGAATATTTGAATTATTCTACATCCTCGTACATTACCGTTTCTCCAAATGAATAGCGTGTAAGCACAGATTAATTTTATATTATTGAAGTGCTGATTAATGTTCATTAAAATTGAATATTAGGTATAGAATGATTCCTCTTGAACATAGATTTTAAAAAAATAATACTTATTAAAAGATTTTTTAGCACTAGTTCATAAAAACATCAGAAGAAAAGCAAGTGATTCAGCGGGCCTTTTTTTTTAAAAAATATCATTTTAACAGTAATTACAATAGTTTGTATTCTTTACATTTTATGTCATTTTACAATGAATTGTGACGTTTTTTTTTAAATAAAATGTTCCACTATAACATGTAAGTTTGTGAAAATATTTGTCACTCAATGATAGAGTAGATACATGCACTGAATAAAGTTTTTACGTGATAGAGGCATGGTACAGATATATTATGATTGTAGCCCAAATGGATTGGTTCGACCTTGGCAGGGCTACGCTCTCAGAAAATTAGACCAACGTAAAAAATATATACAAAGCAGCTTGATGCTGTTGTGTTTCGTATGGTCAGAGTAAAGGACCAGTGACCTATTTTACTGGAAACGAGGCATTCCATCTTAGTCCTCAGGGTCGATAACGCATCTGCATTTTGATTCTTAATCGAAGATAAATGTATCCACAGAACGTCAGATGGACTGTGTGCTCGTATTTCGTCATTCTTATTAAATAAAAAAAGTTAGCACCACGAAATAATAATTAAAGATGTTTCTGCCAGACCGCGTGTAGCGTTTACGTTTATATGTTATTTATTATTACACGACTTATCGAGCAATATCGCATTATTTCATTTAAATATAGCACTAAAAGTAAGCGTTATTAAAACAGAAAGTCGCTTTCGTTTTTGCCGTTTCAATTTCCTTTTTGTAACCCGCGTGTCGTCAACATGCGTTTTTCACACGCGGCGTGTCACCGCATTCACAATACCATACGAGCCGTGGTTCAGCGACCGCCTAGTGATGCCCAAACCAATTTGCATATTAATCGATTCGATAACTTACGTTTAGTCGACAAATTTACATGACCCGTGAGAACCGATATACTCCGCGTGAACTTATGTTATATTAATGAATTGCTCATCTCTGATACTGCGGCCGGTGACCTCTGACAATTTTAATCACAGTGCTCCCGAGGTTTTGATGTGGCACTGCTGAGCTTTGATTTTATATCTACATTTTGAATTTGTCTTTTATCTTTTTTATACAATATGGGTGACAAACAAGCACACAGTCCACATGATGGTAAGTGGATGCCATTATTATCTATATCTATCCTCTATTAAGAATCAAAATGCAGATGCGTTTTCACCCCTGAAGAAGAAGATATAATGCCTCGTTTCCAGTAAAAAGAGTCTTCGGTTCTTTACATTCAATATACGAACACATTAAGTGCTATTTCATGCTGATATTCTGTGGTTCTTCTCCAGTCGAGTAGACCTATTCGTGCTACAACCACAATATTACTACACCTCGATAGCATAACTGGCAGGGCTCCCATTGCACGGCCGCTTAGCTTAAAGAATGACTGATGACTACATTGTTGACTATACCTATTAAAAAATTCCACATAAGCTAACATCGTCTATCTAATAAACCTGAATGAAAGTTTTAGATCTAGATATGCAATAGGGTACAAAAACTAATAAGCTAGTACCGCCCTCTTTCTTCGAATAAAGTAATATGAAAAGGAAACCCATAAGTTTAATATTAAAAAAATATATACATTATAATACAAATACATATATAAATATTACATTTTTTTAACAATGTCTGAAAGGAGAGTCGAGTAGATTTAAATAATTTGGATATTATATAAGAACTGCAAAGAACAAATAGATACTGGTATTACATTATAGTGTAGTATAGTTCCAACACATATACCTACATATGTCCCAGTGCTGGACACTGGCCTCGGAGTGTAGGACAAAGAAATCTCCATGGAAATCTCCGCCGCGCTGTCATAATACATGTTTGCGAACATCAAATGTCTACGAGATATTTGTTTTAATTTCTCAGTGTAATTTTTTCTTACAATGTTTTCCTTCATCTTTATCTGGTGAATTAGCACTTAAAATTGCAATTAATAATTGGACGTGGTTATGCAAAAATGGTCCAACCCTAAAGAAGAAAACTTATTTGAGGTTATGAAATTTGAAGAATGGATCTGTATGGTTTGTTTGTGTGTGTGTGTGTGTGTGTGTAATTTTTCTTCTTTTTTGTGTTTTCGCTAAAATTGTTGCATCATATAATAGTATAGACCACAAACATTATTTTTCAACTGAAAATTTTAGACACAAATTACATTGGATCCTTTTTGCGTAACTATGTCCAATATTAATGGTGCCGGCAGAGATCAAACCCTGGTTGCACACGTATAGTGAAATTTGCAGCGAGTGCTCAGCCTCTGAGCCACTACAGCTCAAACATTACCTAATGCGTTCACTAATTAAATGCGTCAAATTAAATAGACCTGTATGCAACTGATTGCATTAGACTTCGCGAATTCACATTACATTTACTCGTAATATCGATTAAGACGTATTGATTACAGGAATAATAAAATACGAAATGAAGTAATTAACCTATTGAAAGTTATCATTTACAACATGTTTGTGTAACGTCCGTAGATACACGTGGACCTTGGCGAAAAGTAACAACTTTGAGTACATTTCGTCTAATTACTATAGAATAATAATATTTAAATACAGGCCGGTACAACCACACCTACTATGATATGTCGAACCAATAATAAAGCTCGCTAGTAATGTTTAAACTAGCTATAGCATTGGAAACTCCTATTAGTTTAAAATGTCACATTCAATCACGACCATAATAAAATTAAAATAAATATTTAAGGAAACGTTTACTTTAAGAAGTAATAAATTAATTAAAATACAA